ACGTTTCCTTTGTAATTGAGCGGAAGTCCAGTCGAGTTCAAGAACATGTTAATTCGATTAGCTTCAGTATGCGGTTCGCTGAGACAACAGAATAGCTACATGTTTCACAAATACATAAGTGATTTGGTCATTACGCAGCCGGGTGTTATTCATTAAGGGGCGCAGTGGTTTCTTCGTTAAACGATGATTTTGTCTTTGCGGTCAGTCACTAGTATTTGCTATTAGCTCTTCATCATTATATGCCCAAGCATCCGCAACGAACCCGTAATTTTCTGATGATATTTTGCCAGTGGCTTTCTCTTAGGTAAAATATCTGAATTTCAATGTTTTTCGCTATCTTCGCGATCCAAATACAATTGTAATTACTGAAATTTATGCAACGAGCAGCTTTATTGGAGATCGTATGTTTGATCGTGTGAATTACCGAACACAAATTTTGACCTCTTGAAAAGCTAACGCGCCATTTTCTCCTCGTAAATTTTCGGATTTCTTTTGATATGCCGGAAGTTAAACAACTCATCTCAGTGTGTCCCAGTATGGACTCCGTACCTAAACACTTTGAATATCTTCGGCGTGTAATGTGGTGATATTCATTATATAAATTTATCATTGTAGTTGCATTTATACTGGAATGACATTTAGAGTCTTTAAAATGATGATTAGTGAGCAGTTAAATTGGTACCCCTAGCGCTTGGACTTCGTTATCCATGCTTAGGCCATAATAATGAATTGGCTGCTTGCAATGTATCAATGACTGATGCCGAAAGGAATTAAAGTCGCGTTCTGGATCAACGCTCTTTTAAGTGAACTATTGCAAACTGTATAATGATGTCATCACTTCATCTTATACCCTCTAGCGAGTAGGGTACCATGTGCTAGCATTTAACCTGTCTGCTAGGACTGCACTCTAATTAGCGTGCTTTCATGTGTCTCTGAGCTTAGGTTTTACCCAGAGGACGATCACTGCTGTATTGATGAAATGTCATTGGTGGACTTCTGTGTCAAAATGGAGCCCTGTGTTCTTGGAGAGGTTTCGAAACCGCCGCTGAATATATCACATTAAAAATATTGATTCTAGATTGAAACGACTAAAATGCATGGTGTAAAGAAAGAAAAATCAATTTTTTACTTTGCACCAGCAGCTCTATTTTCATGCCCCCTGGCTTGCAGACGCCTGGGAGAGGGGGACCTTTTAAGCAGGCAACGTCTCCTTTGGTATTTTGCCGCCAGCAGTGCATAGTGCGCAGAACCGCATCTCAAACTCAGCGGCGGTATCGAAACTTCCTCAGAATATCAAGGTTGTATTTTGTCACTCGTTTGCCTACGGATCGTGGTAGTGTTCTTTGGTTGAACCTTTTGTTTAACCCATGTTTTAGATGCAGTCCTGCATCCTATGCACTGCAGGCGCTTAAATAACATGGAGCCGTGGCTTGCTTAAATGGTCCCCTTGGTGTCTAGAAGCAAGGGGATGGTGCAATAGAACTGCAGGTGTAAAGTGAGAAATTGATTTTTCTTTCTTTACGCTGCTTTTTTGCCGTTTCAATCCGGTATCATTATTTTTGATGTGGACTCCTGTATATCAGCATGCATTCAAACCGATCATTGATTAATTTTGTCAATGGTCAGAATATCTTTGGTATAACCTTAAAGTTTTAAAATGTAAAAATTGCGCCTAGGGAGAAAAGTGTTTGTACAAATGCATCTAGCAAGAGGAAAAAAGGTGCACTTGACACCTAAATGGAACAGTACTATTAAAGAAGTATAAATAGTTTTAGAGCTGTATAAATTGAAATTGTACCTTTTGCTTATCAAAGATTTTCGTAGACATGCGCTAGCGGTGAGATTACGTTTTCGATCGAATAACTTCATGTACGTATTTTAATGTTGTTTTTCTCATATTATAGCCTGCACAGCGCAAACCGTTTATCCAATTTTTTATCGTCTAAAGTGCTAACGTGTGAACGGTGTTAATTTTATTACACGTGTTTTTAATTGATCAAGCGTCTGGAACCGCTTTCCGTTTAGCTAATATGTCTTCATCTTCCCATCAGCATGCAGAGCGCGTGATAAAAGTTTCCCAGTATTTATTTGGTGAATACTACGGTCCCTCGTCTTTTCTTTCATATTTGTAATCAGACCTCTCCTATATAACGATTCATAATTGTCTTTAAATCAACTGGTTGATTCCTATAACCATTGCATTTTTAATTGACGCTCCTATCGTTCAAGTGAGGCGTTTCAGGCAGCATACCAATTCATATGTTGTATTCCACTGATCTTCGTTCTGTAGTGCGATCCCGTACTTTCCTTATCGTTCGTTTTCGCTGGCCAGGTCGCGATTTGACTATGGAGGGTGGCGAGAGGAAAGTGTGCTATT